ATCTACTTCTGGAGTGATACAGCCTTGGATATCCAAGGAGGTGTCACTATGAGTCGTGCCTGACTCAACAGCACATAACAACAACAGGTATTGTTTTTAAGGAGCTCTGTGGTGGTTTAGAGCCTAAGGCATTTGACTGCTAACCAGAAGTCTGGCAGTTCAAACCCACCAGCTACTCTGTGGAAGGAAGATGTAATCTATTTCCATAAAGATTTATAGCCTCAGAAACCCAACGGGGGTCACTATGAGTGACAATCAACTCGATGGCAGTGAGAGGTGGTGTAATGGATAAAGCATCTGGCTGCTAACCAGAAGGTCAGCAGTTCAAATCCACCAGCTGCTCTGCAGAAGGAAGATAGGGCAATGTACTTCCATAAAGATTTATAGCCTCAGAAACCCAAAGGGGGTCGCTATGAGTCAGAAACGACTCAGCAGTGAGTTTGTTGTTTTCTGTTTTTGGTTCAGGTGTTGTTTAAAATCAAAACCAAATTCACTGCCATCGGGTTGACTCCATCTCATAGTGAGCCTACAGGACAGAGCAGAACCGCTCCATAGTATTTCCAAGGCTATACATCTTTACAGAAGCAGACTGCCTCATTTTTCTTCTGCAGAGCAACTGGCAGGTTCAAACCACTGACCTGGTGGTTATCAGCCAAATGCCTTAACCGCTACACCACCAGAGCACCTTTATTTAATGGTAGAGACTGTCCAATTGGATTAAACAGCAAAATCCAATAATGTGCTATCTATAAGAAACACTTTAAATATAATGACATAGATAAAGTAAAAAGATGGAAAGAGACACATCATGAAAACACTAATAAAAAGCACTTAGTACTTAGAGTAAAATTTATAACACTAAATGCTTACACAAGAAAAAAAGAGATCAATTATCTAAGCTTCCACCTTATGTAGCTAGAAAAGGAAGAGCAAATTAAACTTAATGTAAGCAAAAGGAAGGAAACATTAAAATAAGAGAAGAAAAAATACAATATATAAAATGGATTTGGCATAGTGCCTAAGGCATTTGACTGTTAACCAGAAGGCTGGCAGTTCAAACCTACCGCCACTCCTTGGAAGGAAGATTGGGCAATCTACTTCCATAGAGACACCACCTCGGAAACTCAAGGAGGGGTTGCTGTGAGTCTAATCAACAGGATAAGGAGCTATGGTGGTACAGTTAATCCGTTTGGCTGCTAACCCAAGGAGGGGTCACTATGCGTCAAATCGAGTTGATGGCATTGAATTTGGTTTGGTTTTTTGGGTAGTAATAGAAAAATTAATGAATCAAAAAGCTGTTTATAGAATCAATGAAAATTCACAAACTTCTAGCAGGTTGGTCAAAACAAACACAAATTATCAGTATTTAGAATTAAAGAAGAGACATTACCAAAGACTCTATACACAGTAAAAGCATACCTATTATGAATTCTTTTATGTCAATAACATCTTAGATGAAATGGGCAAATTCCTTGAAAGATACAAACTACCAAACTCATTGGAGGAAAACTAGACAATTTAAATAGCCCCATTTCTTCTAAACTGAATTTATAGTTAAATACTTCTCACAAAGAAGAATCCCGGCCAGCACTGTTGAAGTCTAACAAACACTTAAGGAAGAAATAGCAAGTCTGTCTATATATACTCCAAGGCACACTGAAAAGATCATCTTTTTCCACAGTACACTATCATGTTATCTCCGTCATTAATCAGGTAACCATACAGATGTAGGTCTACATCTCTGTCATGTTTCACTGGCCTATCTGTCCATTCTTGCACCAATTCCATCTAATTACTATATTAGATGGAATTTTCATAGATGATATCTTTATCATAGATGCTGATAGCTGGTAGTCATATATTCTTTTTCCTTCTTGGTTTCTCAATACTCAAGGGAAAAATATCAGCCACAGAACTCCAGAGGCTATTTTTAGTAAAAGAGGTCACTTTTTCTTATGTATCACCAATGAACAATGTGAAAAGGAAATGAAGAGAATAATTCCACTTAAAATAGCACCTAAAAGAATAGAGTACCTAGGGATAGACAACCATCATGGAAAACAGTGTGGTGGTTCCTCAAAAAAACTAACAACTGAACTACCATAGGAACCAGCCATTCCACTCCTGGGTGTATACCTAAAGACTTGACAACAGAAACTCAAACAGAGACTTGTCTACCAACGTTCACTGTAGCACTCTTCACAACAGCCAAAAGGTGGAAACGACCTAAATGCCCATCAATAAATGAATGGATAAACAAACTAGGGTATATACATACTTAGCCGTAGAATATGGATAGAGCTTAAAGACATCATGATGAGTGAAATAAATCAATCACAAAAGGGCAAATATTATATGACCTCACTTATAAAAAAAAAAAAAAAAGAAAAGAAAAGGGAAATGTACAGAGACCAAACTGTATTGGCGGTTACCGGAGGCAGAGAGAAGGGGGAAGGAGGGTTAGCAGTGATGGAAAAATCACATTGATTAAAGGCAGAGTTGCACAGCAAATCACTGTAATTGTTGTCAAGGGTTATTATCATGAAAGTGAAGAGCCAACCTACAGAATGGGACATGAAGGGCATCATACATGAAGAAAGTCAAAAGTCATCAAAAAGACAAGAAGGAAAGGCCAAAATGAATGCCAGGAAAGTTGAATTAGGAGGGGGGAAAAAAAAAGTACCTAAGAATAAATCTGGAGTTCTGGTGGCATAGTGCCTAAGGCATTTGACTGCTCACCAGAAGGCTGGCAGTTCAAACCCACCAGCCGCTCCTGGGAAGGAAGGTGGGGCAATCTACTTCCATTGTGATACCACCTCAAAAATCCAAGGAGGGGTCACTGTGAGTTGGAGCCGACTTGACAGCAGTAAGTTTGGTTTTTGGTTTTTTGGAAAAATAAATCTATCCACAGAGGTAAAAGACTTGTACACTGAACATTATAAAACACTGCTCAAAGAAACTAAAAAACAAATAAGAAGACATCCCATGGTCATAGACTGGAAGACCTTATATTGTTAAGAGGAAGCTCTGGTAGCATAGTGCCTAAGGCACTTGACTGCTAACAGGAGGCTGGTGGTTCAAACCCGCCAGCCTCTCCTCGTCAGAAGGAAGGTTGGGCAATCTACTTAGTAGTGATACTGCCTCGGAAACCCAAGGAGGGGTTGCTATGAGTCAGGTCCGACTCGACGGCACATAACAACAACAACAACATATTGTTAAGATGTCAATAATATCCAAAGATTCAATGCAATCTCTATCAAAATTCCAACAGCCTTTTTGTCAAAAATGAAAAATCTGATCTCAAATTCCAATACAATGGAAAGGTGTCCTGAGTATCTCAAAAAAAAAAAAAAACAAAGTAAAAGGACTCAAACTTCTCAATTTCAAAAAGCTATATATTTGACAAAAGCTACTATAAAGCTACAGTAATTAAAACAGTATAGTATTGGTATAAGAAAAGAACACAGACCAATGGAATAGATTTGAAAGTCCAAAACTAAACCCATATATTTATGGTCAACTGATTTCAACAAGGGTGTCAAGTCCATTCAATGGGGAAAAAATAGTCTCAACAAACAGGCTGAGACAACTTGCTCTCCATATACAAAAGAATGAAGTTGGCCCCTACCTCAAATCATACACTAAAATTTACTCAAAATGGTCAATGGCCAAACATAAAGACTAACATCATCAGAAGAAAATGTAAGGAAAGGGTAAGCTTCAGGACCTTATTCTGACAATGGATTTTTAGATGTGACACCAAAAGCACTAGCAACAAAAGAAGAAACAGACAGATTGAACTTTTGCAAAATTAAAAATCCTGTGCATAAAAGATTTTTTATCATGAACATGAAGAGCCAGCCTACTGAATGGGACATCAAGGGCATCATACATAAAGAATGCCAAAGGTCATTAAAAAGACAAGAAAGAAGGGAAAGCCCAAAATGGATGTCAGAAGGGACTCTGAAACTTGCCTCCCCCTTCCTTGCTTTATTTTTTAATAGCACTTATCACCATCTAAATATCTATTTTCTGTTCTATATGTATGTGTATGTAATTAATTTTATCAAGTTTAATAGAATATAAGCTTCATGAATAAAATGACTTTAGTCTAATTTGCAAAGTATTGTTTCTAGCATCTAAATCATTCCTTGACATACAGTAGGCACACAATAAAAATACACTGCATAAATTAATTTTTCAAGAAGGTTGATTTTGACTCAGTATAAGAACAGATTCTTTAAGGAGATACCTTCTGAAAAATTAAATAACTTTCAAAATTGAATGACAGTGAATACTAATGACAGATTTTAATATGAGGCCAGACACTTTCATAGCAGATGTTATATGGAACATTCCCATTCTTATCATCGGTATAAACGTTGACTGGGTGCTCTTTGAGCTCTCTGAATTCTCACATGTCATAATATTAAGGGGAATAAGAGATTATACTGCAGGGTAGAATATTTTTTCCTTTTCATAGTTCATAGGAAACCATATCTAATAATTATATGCAATTCACCTGGTTAATATTATTTAATGATTCCAAACAGAATTCTACCTACACAACAGAAATAGTGTAAGGAAAAATAGTTTTCCATATTTGAAATCTGAGCCTCATTTTTATTCTTTAAAAAAAAAAAAAATCTTTATTATGAGAAGAAAAATCCTTCTTGGTTCACACAAACAGAAACTAAAATTGCCTTAATTACAGTTTTATTACCTGGGCATTGGATAAAGGACCACTCATAATACTTTTCTTTGGGACAGAGACTTGTGTCAAGAACCATCTCATTGCTGTGCATTCCAACAAGCTTCACTGGTCCCCGAGAAGATCCTTCGATGCAATAGCCTCTTCCTGTATTACTAGGATCATTGCACCAGCCACATCCTGGCTGCTCCAAACACTGTCCACAGGTTCTCAATCCAGAACAATTTTGAGCTGCATGACAGGGACATTAACAAATATGGTACATTATTTTATATTCAAATGAAATTATAGGCTAATAGAAAAATATACAGGGTCCTGAAAAAAGATAGCAAAATATCTCCATGGTTAATGTAAACACGTTTACAATAATACCTAAGAGATAGCAATTATTCAAAGTAAAATATGCTAAGAACTAAGAGGGGATAAATGGATTGATTTGGGTAGTAGGAGAGTGTGTAACCATACCATGGAGAAAACAAAGTCAGCATTTAAAGACATGAATACAAAATAAAAGGAGAAGGAGCGAAAGAATACTGTATTGCTGGACTAAAATTGGAATATTAATGTTAACTAATCATAAGCTCCTAGGAAGGAAGGTTGGGCAATCCTACTTCCGTAGTGATATTGCCTCGGAAACCCAAGGAGGGGTCGCTATGAGTCACGTTTGACTCAATGGCACATAACAACAACAACAACAACAATCATAAGCTCTGGTAGTGTAGTGCCTAAGGCACTTGACTGCTAACCAGAAGGCTGGCGGTTCAAACCCACCAGCCACTCCTCGGAAGGAAGGCTGGGCAATCTACTTCCATAGAGATACTGCCTCGGAAACCCAAGGAGGGGTCGCTAAGAGTCGGGTCCGACTCAACGGCACATACCAACAACAACAACATCCTATCTCTCTATTGAAAGTGCCTAGATGTAATGAACAAACCAGTAACAAAAAGCACACCTAGCTCCCAGATATTGGTATCTAAACACATTCTTCATTAAAAGGAACAAATTATCCTTGGAGAAATAATTTTATCAGGCTAGAGAAAATACCAGGAGAGACTGAAACACCTGTTTCTGGCAGAAAGGAAGGAAGTACTCAGAATGATAATTGGAAACAAGTAAAAAGGACAAAGCAACTAGCCCGAAGAGACTCTCACATGACCAAATCTCGAGCAATTTCAGCAACAAACACAGTAATAGAATTATAGCATTTATTAAGACCTGATCTCATATTGCATGATGGCTCAGGAAAGCAGGGAGGGAGGGAAAAAAGGAAAAGGTAGGAGGAATGAAGTGTGATGGTGGACAAAGGAGGAGGGGAAATTATTTTTTACAGAAGAATGCCAAGTATTAAATACAAAATAAATGATAAAACTAGAAAGCAACCATTTTGTAGTCTTCAATAGATGATTCAAACAATGAATCATGAATGGATGGTAAAACCATTGCCTAGAAAACATATTAATTAGGTAACAGAATAGTTACATAGTCCCGAGGTATCTCCCCTACTTAGAAGAGGGAGAAGTACTTTTACAATGGAGAAGTCTGGTAGATACCACCCTAACCAAGTCCACATACTTCACATTACCAATAATGGCAAATGAACTGGCTAGTAAGAGGCTTGAGGAAGGATATATCACCATCAATATGATTTTTTTGCCAAAAAATGCTTCACCTGAATCTAATCATGAGGAAACAATTAAACAAATCTAATTTGAGAAATGTACAATATAACTGGTGTGGATTCTTCAAAAACACCTGAGAGACATAAGAAACAGAAGACAACGTGGAATCTGTGCTAGATTAAAGGCACTAAAAAGGCACAAAAGTTAATACATGATCCTCGCAGTGCGCACTGTTGTGAACCGTTACAGTGTCAACAGCACATGCGGAGTTCAGAGGAGAAGCACAGACATGGCAAAATGGTCACACCGTGGTGGCCGCTTAGTAGGACTCTAAATAATGGTACACACACAAACTAGACAAAAGGTCACACCGCGGTGGCCGCTCAGTAGGACTCTAAATGATGGTACACACACAAGCTAGACAAAATGG